TTCAACTTAACTCTTTGCCAGCTCTCTTCCATCATTTTAGTGAACATATTTGGTGAACATGCTTCTCTGTCTTTTGAATGAGGTATCCTTTGTTGTTATATATTTCCAGGAATATTTCTATTTTTGATATATGGATGAGAGACAGGTTGTTGGAAGAGAACTTTCATGGTGGTATTTTGCTCTAATGAATCAAATGATGTATTTATTTATTTGTTTTTGGTGAGGCAATTGGGGTTAAGTGATTTGCTCAGAGTCACACAGCTAGTGAGTGTTATGTGTCTGAGGCCAGATTTGAACTCAGGTCCTCCTGACTCCAAGGCTGGTGCTCTATCACTGAGCCACCTAGCTGCCCATGAATCAAATGATCTAAAAAAATAAGACCAAACAAAACCCAATCAGCCTTCTATTCTCTATCCCTTTTGGTCAAAGATGTGTTGGTAAAGATATAGTCTCTTATAGGACATTGTCCATGAATGCCTACTTCTTCTCTATTAATATTCTTATCAAAGATGCCCTCAGTGCATGTATATATTATTATAAAAAATTTATATAGATGGAAAAGTAGACACATAGGTTGTTAGCTGCTAATACCTTCTTGATGAACTTTTCTAGGATGGTGGGGGATTATTATATCTGAAATTCTTTCCAATCCTTTGATATCTTCACTCCTTGAGATACTTTAGGAATTATTCCATCAACATCTTCACAACTGTATTGCCTCCAACATGGATTACCTCTATTTATACTTAGTGTAATTCACTTTCTTTACCCAATATTTTTCTCTTTAGTATCATTTCTACATCCTCCATACATGATAATGATAAGAATCCAAGCAAAAGGACTTTTGGTTGATATGGTGATATGAAAAGTCATAAAGTTACTCAGTTCTCCACTTCCACCCCAGAAAATATATTAAAAATGGCACCAGATAGAACAATGATAAAGAAAATTGAAGAGAAACAGAAGCATGGACCTTCCTCTAATCTAGAACTGCACCCTACCACCACCTCCCGATAGCGCCAACAGAACATCAGAGTAGAATCATACCAGAAAAGCCTGTACAAGATCTTGTAAATGAACCTGAAGCCTGTGGGTTCTGGGAGAGGGATTGGACATCAGAAGCCAGTGTGAATTCTGGTAAATTAAGCTCAGGGCTTCTGAACTAGGGTTACAAGCCAGTCCAAGCTCTACTAATCAGGTATTCTTATTGGAATGAGAAAGAGAAGAGGTTACACACAGAGATTTTAGTATAGAAATGTACTGAATTCAAAAGGGAAACAAATGGGTACAGAAAAAGGAGACAATGAAGTTCAAAATAACCAAGGCCAGTGTCTTAGGATTTACATGTATATCCCAGCATCAGTATTACCATGGAGACTCTTCTCTGAAAATCAGCCAGTCACAGATATCATAGAAATGGGTATACTCTCAAATTGTTCATAAAGAATTTAAGGAAGGGGGAAAGACAAAGCAAGGACCTTTCAAAGTCCTGAATTTGAGCTCCGCTGCCCCTCTTTACACACTCTGATAATCAGTTTCTGTTTCTAGCTCTGATGCAGCTACCACTGGTCCATGGCCTTGCTGGCATTTTATAGCAAACTGAGAAATGATTGGTGATTCCTTTCCTTCTACTCCCCTCCCCTTCTGCCTCTAAGTTAGGGGTAAGAGGATTCTAGTAACTAATCAATCTTTCTCAGATTCCTTCTCCCCTCTTTCTCACTAGGGATAAAAGATTGAATTGGAAGTATTTTGCATTAGCTGCTATTATTTCCAAGGAACTATACCAATCAGCCCTTTCATGCTCTTTTTTTTTTTTGTCCTGGGCTTGCTGTTTATTCTCTTGCTACTGTTATCCCATTTTTTTGTAACAGAAATTAGTAGCAGAAGCAAGTTTAATGTTATTTGCTATAAGAGATGTCATAAAGAGCAATCTGGATAAACACGGTAAACAAATGCATCTGTCTCACTAGGAGGAACAGGTAGGTTACTGTCCCCCAGGACATTACAAACTTAGGGTCAGCAAGCAATAATTTTTCTTAATCAGCCAATAAGAAGAGTAAATAATAAATAGGCGTAGCAATTAATAACCAGAAGCAAATTATATTTCACTAGACTACAGATGTTAGTGACAAAGAATCTAGAACAAAGAGGGAAAAAAGGCATATTTCTATGAACACCGTAGGTTCCAGTTGAAATCCTTTAGCAGCACACTCCTCGATCATCCCTGCTATATCTGCCTCCTCTTTTCATCAACTTACTGGTAGGTAGAAATATTTATAGGATGATAGACTATTCTCATCCAATGGAACCTATCACTAATATTTACCTTGCAAAAACAAAACAAAATGAAACTTTGGAGGGCAGATCATAGAGGGGGAATTAAAAAGAAAGAAATTGTAAGAACCAGTGATCAGAGTCTGGGCTTGGTGAAGAGAGGAGGGGCAAGGAAGTCAGAAGAGACTACTTCAATTACAGATTACTAGTATTTATCAAATTTCTTCTCTTTCTTTACCTCCTGCTTTGTAAGAATGGTAGTGGGGGCGGGATTAGAGAGAAGAAAAAATGTAAGGTGATATTATGAACAAAAATAAACAACAGTCACATTGAATATGATGGTCTCCATAATAAAAGGAGAAGAATGAAATAGAAACAGAAACTAACAACATGTTGTTTACTGAAAACCCACTTAAATTTAAATATTTGCAGAATTAAAATGAGGGTATAAAGTAGAACTGATGCCTCAGGCAAATTTAAAAATAAAAAAAAGGAATAGCAATCATGACCATAAATGAGACAACAGTAAAAATATACATGGTTAAAAGAAATAAACTGAGAAACCAGTTTATGCTTAAAGGTACTATGCATAATGAAATAATACCAAAACTTAATGTAGATTTAGTAAATGCCACAGCGTCTAAATACATAAAAGAAAAGCAAATTGAATTTCAGAAAGAAATAGTTATCATTAGAATTAGAATAATTGGGGAGTTCAATAGTTAGATAGAGCTAACAAAAAGATGAATGAGAAAGAAATTAAGGACTTAGATGGAATTCTTGAAAAATCAGATATAGATATTTGGAAAGGCAACAAAAATGGGAATATACATATTCTCAACTGTGTATATTACTTTTATAAAAGCTTTTCATATATTAAGGCATAAAAACCTCATAAAGAAATGCAGAAAGATATATTAATAAAATATATTAATAAAAATTATAATTAAGATAACATTTAAAAGAATTTAAACTTAAATGAGGACTAAATAATTTAATCCTAAAGAACTGGTGAGTCAGAGAACAAAAATTAGAAACTTTTTCTTTGGAAGAAAATGATGACAATGAGACAACATATCAAAAATTCAGGACACAACCAAAGTGGTCCTTAAAGGAAAATGATATTGCTAAATATGTCTATCAACAAAAGAGAATGAATTAGGACACAACTAAGAATAATTAGAAAAGTAATCATTTTTTAAAATTGCAATTAAAGCCTCAAGTAGAAATTCTGAAAATCAGAAATAAAACTGAAAACAAAAATAATCTATGGAATTGTTAAATAAAATTAAGAGCTGTTTTTAAAATCTAAAAATAATGCATTACCTGATTTTTTAAAAAAGCCTAAATTGCTAATATAAAAATGGGGGGAAGAATTCACAATGCTTGAAAAAGAAATAAAGAAATAAAGGAATTTACTAGAAACTATTTACCTGATTTTATGTCAACAAAATTACAAGTGAAATGGATAAATATTTTACAAATATATAAAATATATTAATAGAACAAGAAACAGAGAATTTTAAATATCCAAATCACAAGAAAAAAATAGTAAAAGAACTCTCAAAAAAGACAATGGGATCAGATCACTTTACAAGTAAATTCTACTAGATAGTCTAGTAAACTAAGTGATATATATGTGTGTGTGTATTTATATATTTACATTTATATATACATTATTTATATATTATCTAATTGGATCTTTGTGACAACCATAACTATAATAAAATATTTTTTTATTATGCGTATTTTACAAATGAAAAAATTAATACTCAAGGAGATTATGTGACTTACCCAAGGTCACATAGTACTTTCCTTTTGAAAATCTTTTTCAAATTACATTATATTTCTACATTTTTTCTGGTGGAAAAAGTAAAAAAGGTGGTAAAAGAAGATTTATCCTTGCAGTAGCAGCTTAGTAAGAATATTTACTCTTACCTTTTATCTCTAATAGTTTTTTATTTGACTATCCATGAGTAAGAATACAAAAATATTATCCTATGATGAATTTTATTTTTAATTAAATTTTCTTTATCAATTTTATATTAAGGTTTTACATCAGCAGAAATGAAAATTATTCTCATAATAATGATTATCAGGGAGAAATTATTACCCAGAGATGGAAGAGAAATTGGTCAATTCATACAAAATTCTATTATGTTATGAATAATGATTGCTCAAAATAGAATATATTCAGTACTTTACTCCTTTACTCTCATTGGAGTCACTGAATCATGGTGTTGAAGACTGGGTTCCCAGTGGATAAATATTACAGCTGCATGAGGCAGTAAACCAAAACAACAGAAACAAGTGTTCAATAATCTTCATCTATGGGCATTTAAAAAGATAATTAATAACTCCTTCAGTGTAAGCTGATTGAAGACTCAAAAAACAAAATGAATTTTGCCAAATTTTTAAACTCAAAATGATACATTACACTTTTGAGCCTAGAAGAAACAAGCAATTCCATTTCTTCCCCCCCCCATTTTACGGAAGATGAGTTTTAATAACATTATTAGTGGTTGTTAATGGCAAGAGATTCAAAATAGAATCTGTCTGCCTAGATATATCTGGCAAAAAATAATCAGCCCATTTCTTGATACAAAGGATTTTAAAGATTGTTTCAAACTTCTGAATTTATCAGCTTGTTTAATAGGAAAATGTTGACTCTACTAAAACTAGTTTTAAAACAAAGTCTTAACATCCCAGTCTTATAATACACTTACCATCAGTTTTGAAACTGCTATCTTCTTCCATTCCCACAACATACCTCCCATGATTCAATGGCGGTGTATTTTCTGGAAAATGATAATCTGTAAGAACAACTCCCTCAGAATAGTCTGAGAGAGCTTCCATTTCTGAAGACATAGCTCTACCATCTGGGTAGGGCTGGATAGTTTCATTTTTAGGATAGAATCGTGAAGCTTCTGTTAAGAGATCGAGGAATTCTCCATTGGTGTCTGGTGGAACTGGGCTTTTAATTCCTTTTTGCTGAGAAGACTCAGTGTGGCCTTGTGATATCTGAAAAATTGCCTCCCTCTCTGGTGTCCCTTGTTTAATTTGATGATACAAGGAATCAGATTCTGTTTTAGGAGATAATGGCCAATGACTAGTTGCTGGATACAGCAATTTGAATCTCTGCTCTGAGTCCAGTGGAGAGAATATACCATCATGGTTTGATTCACTATTATCTACTTGACTATGAGAGGTGGCATGTAAGTCAAGTAAAACTTCTTTCTTGCTGTGACTGTTTGATACTAGCTCTTGTCCACTGGGTGAGTGTTCATTTTCATCACCATCTTTATTATAAAAAACCTCAACATAATCTGTTTTCTCGTCAGTATAGTTACTTTCCAGGACACTGTACTCTGCAGCATTATTAAGAAACTGCTCCAGAGAATGGGCTATGGAAAGGTTTCCTCTGAGGTTTGCAGGTTCAACATTATCCATGTGGAATGTGCTGCCAATGTGAAAAGCCCATACTCCAGGTATGCCCAGGTTACTTATTCTAAATAAAAAAATGAGCAATTAGGTGAAGTTACTACATTTTAAAACATACATTTTTGAATATTCTTGTAAAGTTAATTCACTTTACTTTAAAACATAATTAAGTGCTTTTCTCTAGATCAGCAGGTCAAATCCATAGTTTTTAATAGTTTTAAAATGAGATAAACCAAACAAATATGATAATGAAAGAGAACATACACAATTTTCCTATAAACTATCTTAACATCCCTTCAGAGGCTCTATATGTATATAGTATTCAAAACTCTGGCTGAAAAATTTAGTGAATAACCCATTATTTCTCAACTGGATTTTTTTTTGTTTATCACTGGGACAGCAAAATCTTGATGTCTAGAAACAGCCAAACTCCATGAGGGCAAGAATCATGTTTTATGCAAATTTGTATCACTCCAGTAAAACGAGACAAAAAGGTACTGAATTTGGTTTAAGAGGACCTGGGTTCAAATCTCACAAAGTTGGACCAGGTAGCCTCTCAGTTCTTTCCTAGCTCTAAACCTATAATTCACATATGGATTCTTAGTAAATTTCATTGAATATAATTGATCCAAATGAGTGAATAATTCAGTCTTCACCTGGATTTTTTGCATCAGTTAACATAACTGGGAAAGTTAATGCTTATAAATCCCTATCAAAGGTTGAAAAAAAATTTGGAAAAACAACTTCTCCCAGAATAGACTGAAAGAGCTTCCATTTCTGAAGACAAATTTCCACCATCTGAGTAGGCTTAGATAGTTTCATTTCAGGATAAAGTACAGCCTTCAAGTTAATTTTTACCCCAGAAAAATTTCATTTCCACAATTGTAATTTTGGTTTGGCTAAAGTGCATAGAAGGATGACTAAATATAAAGTACCCCATGGGAAAAATGGCAAAATATAAAGTTAATATGGAATAACAGAAACTTAATCAAAACAGTAGAACTTGTGAAACTTTAAAAAAAAGTATTTTTAGTCCAGAGAATTAATTGCTAGTCACCCCATTTAAAGAACAGCTATATATTCTTTTCTAAAGAATATTTTATATATAGACTTTCTTCAGCTTTCAACTGAAGTATATCCAATTAGCTCAGTAGTAACAATTATGTTTTGCCTACTAAAGAGTATTCTAGCCAGCCTCTGGTTTTCTACTGAAGCATATCAGGTAGTCTGTTAGTAGTTTCTTCTTTCTTCTTCTTCTTCTTCTTCTCTTCTTCTTCTTCTTCTTCTTCTTCTTCTCTTCTTTCTTCTTCTTCTTCTTCTTCTTCTTCTTCTTCTTCTTTTTTTGCTTTTGGTGAGGCAATTGGGGTTAAGTGACTTGGCCAGGGTCACACAGCTAGTAAGTTACACCTGTCTAAGACTGGATTTGAACTCACATCCTCCTGACTCCAAGGCCAGAGCTCTATTCACTGCTCCACCTAGCTGCCCCAGTAGTTTCGTAATATGATGCTGTGATACATCGTTATTATTACAATAATTTAGGACCTGATTTATGTACCCAAATCCAAACTTTACAAAAATGTAATAAGCAAATCGATTTCATTAAGTCAACTTATTTCATTTTGCCATGTTCAAAAACTCTACACTGCCAAAAGCCATGGGATTTCCTCAAGAATCAATCAATAAAGAAAATGGGTTAATGTGCATAATAGAAAACGAGTAATTAATTGAATTGAATAAAAACATGAACTTTCTCACAAAAATCCATTGTTTTCATCTGGAATTCTATAGTACTAATATTTTCCATTACAAGAAAGGCTATTCTTAAAAAGTGATTTTAAGGAAGAATGAAAAATCAAAGTTAGTTTATATACATTAAACATGTTTGTGAAAAAATATTGTTTGCATAGTTGAAAAATAAGAGAAATTGAAAAAGATAACGGAAAATCTTACAAATGTAAGAATAATGAATTTGATATCATATAAAAAGTATTATGTCCATGAAATTCCATCTTGCAGTAGCTACGGTAATCTTCAAATAATAAAAGAATTTAAATGATATTTTAAAAAGTTGAAATTACTACTCAGCTAGATTTAAACCACTCTCTTCTCTCTTGTGTCATATATAAGCATATATCAGCACCTGTAAGAGGTGCTGATTTTAATATGTCCTTAAATGCAAGGTCATCTGGAAAACTTGATTATAGGGGGAATATAAATTTTTGTTTTCCTCAATAACAGGAAACAAAGCTAGAGGTAATAAACGGGCATAAAATGACTACACAATTGCTACATAAGTAGCACTCAAAGGACAGTAAGTCTTCATTGATTTCAAATTTAAAGAATGCGTACATATTTAAGATTGGTACACTCTGATTAAATCTAAGGATCTCAATGAGACTTGAACTTAGGTTTGAGCTACTGATTGTTGAACTTGGAATTTCTGATCTCTTTGAGGGAAATGAAGAATATTTAGAGAAATCTCCCCAAAATGAATGAAACTAAAAGGTGTTTCTGAAGGCAAGTAGTGAAATATGTCTGAGGGGCAGCTAGGTGGCACAGTGGATAGAGCACTGGCCCTGAAGTTAGGAGGACCTGAGTTCAAATCCTGCCTCAGAAACATAACCCTTACTAGCTGTGTGACCCTGGGCAAGTCACTTAATCCCATTGCCTAGCCAAAAAAAAAATCAAACAAAAAAAAAGCCAAAGAAAGTGGGATTTGAGTGGGACTTGGAGGAAGCAACAAAGGTAGCCTTGTGCAGCTTCTAAAAACTTAACAAATTCAAGTATGTGAGAGTTTAAGTAAAGCAAAAAACTGAGTGAATGTTTATTACTTACTGGTAGAGATTTTTCACAGATTGTTCAGTGCTAGTTACACTAAAATAAATCCCTTCTCTCTTCTGATAGTTGTCTTTACCTCGGCTGAAACCCACTCTGGCTGGGAGTTCAAGCTGTGTATCAGAAGATTCTTTGGGACAAGTTCCAAAGAATTGAAGACCATTGGTAGGATAAAGAAAAAGAGCGTAGGTATCAAACTCATCAAATGCCAAGACTACCTGAAAAGTATTCATCTGTGAAAAAAAAACATGAATTAGAGACAAAACATTCATAAAAACTTAGACAACAGCAAATAGTAAAGTACTATAGATTTTTTTTCTAATAAGAATTGTTACTAACATGAAATTTCTCCAAATTACTCCAATCTAAAACACTAGTAGTATTTTGAAAATGTAATTTCCAAAGTTACATAACTTTGTTTAATTTCATTTGCTGAGAGAAATGGATTTAACTTTTATCTTGAGAAGAAACAAAAACCAAATTCTTAAAAAAAAAAAACCTCAATTTTAACTGGGATGATGGAAGACTTGAATGTTAGGACTATATTTCCAGAACTAAGGAAGTCAGTAATTGTACTAATGATTAAAGGCTTCAATATTTCTCACAGCTTACACACTGCAAATAACTGTTTCTGTCTTTGTTTAATTGTTTGTTACATTGTTAATAAATGCTATAACTAGAAATTTTGATTTTTTTTAAGACTAACAGTATAGCGGGCTTGATTAGGAAAAGAGTTAACTCCAGTTTATTTTAAATACAATACTTAATAAACTGTAGTAGAGCTTCAGAAGGCAGTGATTAATTAATAAGTAATGTTGTAATTTACTGATTAATGTGGTAATACAAAAACATACCCTTTTATAATTATTCTCAGAAAGCTAGGTGGTACATTGGATTGAATGCTAGGCCAGGCATCAAGAAGAATTGAATTCAAATCTGACCTTAGCATTTACAAAAAGTATAATCCTTGGTAAGTCATTTAACCTATGTCTGCTTCAGTTTCCTTAACTGTAAAATGGAGGTAATACCAGCATCTACTTCCTAGGGTTGTTGTAAGGATTACAGAAGATATTTTTTAAGTGCTTAGCACAATACCTGACAATAAATACTTATTTCCTGACTTCCTTATTATACTTACTTATTATTCTTATTATTTAGGATGAATAAGGAAAACACATTAGTAGCAGGTATAAAAAGGATCGTCCATTCTACCTAGGTTATATATGAAATTGTGCAGCCCCTAAAGTCCTCTTACACAAATGAAATGCATATGTACACTGAGAAACAACAAAGTCTAGTAGATTCAGGGTCTGTCTTGGAGCCAGAAAGACTGTGCTGCCTTGACATACACTATGTTGTATGGGACAAGTGAAAGTTTCTCATGTTAAGACGTAAGCTATGCTCCAAAAATGTACTAAGGCTTCAGCATGAGCTAGGCCTAAGTTTCACTTTCATTTTTGGGGAAGGGGGTTGTGCACCAGCTGCCCACCCCCCTCCCTTGTTTTATAACCACCCCTTCTGTTGTTTTGTGCCTTAACTTTACCAAATAAGGTAATCTTCTAGTTCTCAAGCAAGTTTTGAGTAAAATGTATTTCTTGGGGTCTAAATATAGACTGTGAAGTCTCTTGCCTCAGCCAATGAGGATAAAGAGATTGAGACAAACAGGTGGGGAGGGGGGCTTTTGGAGTGGTTTGTCTAAGACTGTATGTACTGCTTGCTCTGCTGTTTGTGCTGGGCTTCCCTACTCCAGTCTGCCCTGGGTAGGAGACACCCAACTCTTGCATGAGACTTGCTACAATAAAACCTTCTGTTTTCTACCTGGAGAAACCTCTGAGTTTTTTATTTGAGTAAGTGGTCTCAATCCCACTCAGTGGGGGGCTTGTCCCGGGATTTTCTTTGATTAGGGAGAGGGCTTCCCTGCCGAGGTCAAGACAAGCACGCATCTGAGATTTCTCGGAGGCTTTGAGCCCTGGAGGGAGGTTGCTACCCAGTCATTGAAATACACCTGAAGAGAGGGACTCAGAGAAACAGAAGGTTTGTTAGGGCTCCAACACTTAGGGACAAAACTGAGAAATTCCATCCGGCTGGTGGCTGAGAGCAGTCACATAAGTTTTACATGTGCAACCCAGAGGTCTAGAGGTAATTGGCATGGGGTGAGGGCCCTTTAGGACGGGCTCTAGTTTGGGCAGAGTCTGGGCCTAATCAAATTGCAGAATAGAAACCTCATGGAAGGATGCCACTGAGAAAGCCTCATGGGTGACTGGTGAAGAGTAGGTGACCCTCCTCGGTAATTTGGCTGAGTCTATCTTTAGACTCGGAGAGTTCGGTGACAGCTCCTGTAAACTCCCTAGGTGAGGGCCTACGGGTTCCCTAAGAATGGGAAACGGGCAATCTAAATCTGCACAATCAGAGCGCAAATGTGAGGTACCTATAGACAGTCCTTTAGGCAATCGATTGCAGAATTGGAATGGACTACCAAAATATAGAGGAAAAGCTAAAAAGAAAATGATTAACTATCATTTGATGATTTGAGGATTCTACAGGGCAGAGGGTTGTTGTGTCAATTTTCTTTTTTTGTTTGTGTCTGTGCGTGGTGTGAATGAATATAGTGTTAACAGTGTTTGATAGTAAAAGATTTGGCAAGAAAAGCATTCCAAGTGCAGCAGCTCACTCTGGAGTGCAGCTTTCTCTTCCCTCTCACTCACTGATAACAGCAGCCTCAGAGGGGTGGGGCTGGATGGGAGAGAGACAAAGAAATACTTTATTATTTAGCTTATATGATTGGTAAAAAGGCAAGTTGAGAAGGATTTTCGAAGTGTCAGGTCAGAATTAGAAAGAAATAAGATATGTGCAGTTTTAAAGGGACTTTAGTCAAAGTCCATTAAAAAGAAAGGCAAGAAAGTTTAAGCTTGTAGGAGAGGGAATATGTGTAGAAAGCTTAAGGAAAGCATAATTTATTTGCACAGTGTGAATAGAGGGTTTTGAAACTAAGAAGGTTTTGAAACCTTTGGAAAAAATAATAATAATTTCTCCCTCTCTCTCTGCATTCTAATTCTGGCCAAATTTGAGTGTGGAGACAGAGAGAGAAAAAGGGAATCTTTCCCCCTCAGATCAGAGAGAGAGGTAGCACTTAATCTTTTCTACCTCTCATAAAAGAGAGAAGTTTTTGTGTACCAGAACACAATCAGTTTGGGAAGAGAGAGGGAGGGAGAGCCCTATTCAATTATCTCCCTTCAGATTTGCAAAAAGAAAGCTGAATAGCTTTAGATGGTTTAAGAAGTTGAGAAGGTGTGAGGAAGTGGTCTGTTTAAACTAGAAAGATGGAAAAATAAAATTTTTTTTTGGCCTAATTTACAAACCAATAGATAAAGTTATGGGGAGATGGAAGGAATTATGTCCATCCACCTTTCAGGCTAGATCCATAGATGGGTTCTATTAGATCTAATGTGGATACTGACTATGGTAAAGAGATTGGTTATTGTGGGAAAGCAAAAAGAAGTAGTCAGAATACTGGTCCAGTACATTTTTAAACTGACTTGATTGTAATAGGTGATTCTAAACTGTTTGTAAAACTTTCGCAAGAAAATGTGGACATGAATGTGGATAATATCCCTTTATAAAGGGCCAAGGGTATTGAATTTAGACATGTATATTTGTATAATTTTGAGAGCACCTATTGTTATTTGGCATTAAGAAATTTATCAATTATGTGGCCTCAGGAGACTGTTGAATCTGATGAAGGGGTCTAGAAAGAAAGAAAGATTTTTTTATTGAGTCTATTTTCAACTGTATTAGTTATGTTGCTGGAAGGGCAATTTCTTTTATAATCTGGAATGTTAAATTAATTGTGCCTTCAGGGAAAAGAGAAAAAGGAATGAATCTGGCTGTTGGGGTATTCTATATGGTCCTGTTTTGTAACATTTCCTTTTTAAGTATTGTAACTGAAGAAAGCATAAAATTTCCAAATTTTGTGTTGACTGTTTTAATGCTAAAACCTAGAATTGTTAATTGATTATTTGTGTGTGAAAAGAAGGGGCACAAGGCAATTACTCCTTATGTTGGAAACTTGCCAAGGTCCCTGGAAACCAACAGGGGGAGGGTTAACATAACCCCTCTTAAGATCAAATTTGGAACCCACTACAGTGGTTTGAGTAAAACAATATCCTGTATCTCTAGAGGGGAGGCGAGGACTCAGACTGGTGATTCAGGGGCTATTGGAAGGGGGACTTCTTGAACCCCATATTTCCCCCTTCAATACCTCCATCTTGCTGGTCCGGAAAAGGAATGGAACATATAGACTAGTCCAAGATTTAAGGGAAGTTAACAAGGTTGTATTACCATGCCACCCAGTGGTCCCTGACCCCTACATGATTTTGGAAAGAGTAAATGAAGACAGTAGGTGGTTCAATGTAATTGATTTGAAAGTTGCATTCTGGGCCTACCCCTTAGACCCTAGTAGTAGGGATATCTTTGCCTTCCAGTGGGAGGATCCTGAGACTGGGAGAAAGCAGTAGTATAGGTGGTGCGTCCTGCCCCAGGGGTATACTGAATCACCAAATTTGTTTGGACAAGTTCTTGAGAGAATCCTGGAAGGGTTTAGAGCTCCCCTTGGGACACAGGTATTACAATATGTAGATGATTTGCTGGTGACAGGTAAAAAGAGAACAGAAACCAGTGAGGCTTCAATCAAATTGATAAACTATTTGGAATCAGAAGGTTTGAGGATTTCTAAACATAAATTACAATTCATGGAATGAAAGGTGAAATGTCTGGGACGTTTAATAAGTGAGGGGCAGAAGAAGCTGGACCCAGAGTGGGTAGCAGGAATCCTTCAAACTCCCCTCCCAAAAACTAAGAGGGAACTCAGAAAGTTCCTGGGACTAGTAGGATACTGTAGAAATAGGATTGATTCATATGTGTCCCTCACGAAACCCTTGTACCAATACTTATTGGAAGAAGAACCAGAACAAATTAGATGGGGCCATGGTGGGGGGATTTAAAAAGTTAAAGGAGGTTCTCACCTCCCCTCCCCTCCTGTTTTGACACTCCCTTCACTGAAGAAACCCTTTCACTTATTTGTGAATGTGGACAAAGGGGTAGCACTGGGGGGTCTTGACCCAAATAAGGGAGGAGGCAGAAGAGACCTGTGGCTTTCTTATCAAAAGTCCTGGATTCTGTGGCTAGAAGGTGGCCAATCTGTATTCAAGCAGTGGCAGCTACTTCAATACTAGTG